TTTAAAAATATAGATAATTATGGAATATTTTCTAAAAATGCTAAATCTCACTGACACTCAGACATTATAAATATATATACAATAAAATATAAATTAAATTACTTGATTAAATCACTTTTTGAATATATAGTTTAAACATTTATTAAAAATTAATTATTTCAAAATTTAGGTTCAACATAAATATTAATTGAAAAACAAATTTTGAAGTTTCGATTACTCACCTTATTTTCAAAGTATTTGACCTGCTGCAGGTTCCGTGGATAACCGTCGATGATAATGCCGGTCTTATCGCGCAGTTGACGTATATTGTTATCCAGCAATTGATTCAGCGACTTCTCCGGCGCCATTTCGCCAGCAGCTAGGGCCTCTTTGACGGCATAGCTTTCGGTGTTGGCACGTGGCGCCGAGTCCGTGATATTGCGCAGCAGACGCCCAACGCTGCAGGGATATGTCGAGAATCAGTTGCAAGATATATATGAGCTATATAGATAGATAGATTCACCTGATGTGCGCCCAGCCGGGATTGAGGCCAACGGCCTTCAGGCACAACGTTGCCTTATTGCTGCCCGGACCGCCGATGACCCAAATGATGGGCGGTATTGGGCGATCCGTTTCGGATGCGTTGGCATCGATGCTGGTGCCGGCATGATTCAGCTTCGGCTGCTGTGTAACCACTACGCCGCTGTCATCGTCCGCACTGGTGCCACCGCCGCCGCCGCCTGCTGTACGGAGTGTCGCTGCGGCTGTGGCTGCATTGGCGGCTATGTGAGAGATCACAGCATTTGTGACATTTCGTTCACCCGGCTCAGTTGCAGTCGCAGTCGCAGTCGCAGTCGCCGTCGCTGCGACGGCTTGGTCTGTAATGTGAGGCGCTTGGGCTTGACTAGGTGCGGTGTCTACGCTAACTATACTGCCGGGTATATCATGTATCCCTCTGCCCATACCTGTAACTCCGTTCAGTATGGCCTCTTGATTCTCGAGTGCACTCAATATGTCTAGCACAGCGGTGCGAAAGTCTTTGTACACCTCAGTGGGTGCACGCTCGCCATTTACCTGAATGGGAATAGAGTAAGAATATGATATCAATACCATTTCCATGTTCATTCAAACTGCTTTACTAACGGCCAATAGCATATCGCTTTGATCAAAATAATCAGCGACTGGCATCACATTTTTGAAGAAATTTTCCAATTCCATTTTGGCTAAGGAGAGTACAACATGACCTAATTTAGCACCATAATCGATTTGTTTCTGTAGCACCGACTGACGCCAGGATATTAAGATAACTCCATTAACGACTTGTATCTGAAAGTTATAAATAGGCATTTACCGAATATTAAATCTCTGCTTGTTCTATATAAAAAGCAGTAAAT